AAAAGACATTTTCGCGGTGTGATGAACGCACAGTTCTGCAGCCGTGGTGTTTGTACTCAGTCGCTATTCTATGTGGAGGGAAGACCGTGTACAGCGTGTCCCGCTGATTCATTATCTAAGGAAATGCAACTCAAGTTGCGGCACTCAAGGGTGTGTTGCGAATGAGCTCTGTACGATTGGAGATAACGGAACTGCTACAGTGAACGGAAAAGGGAGAGGCAAAAAAAAAATGTTATCACTGAGTTTGATAGAATATTTGTAAGGGAAGAACCCGTTCCAGCGCCTGGTCAGCCCAGTGTTATTTCCATATGTGTTCATGAAGCAAAAAAGTATGTCTACCCATTCCACGGTTTTTCGACCATTCCTCTTGCTTTTATTGCTAATAATGTAGACCACACCATTTACTTCCACTCATTTTTGGGGTGCCACAACTAACGGTAACACCTTTGGTGTCTGCTGGGGTATTTGCTTGATAAGAGTTCGCTTACATATGAAACGGCAGGTATATATGATGGCCACGGAGAAGCACGTTGTACAATTTTGGACTCAAAGAACAAGTCAGAGTGCGGTGAAAGTTTGTGAAAGCGTTTCGTGCGTTTGTCAGCATTTGGGCGTTTGGAGCGACTAGGGAGGTGTATCTGTCAACCCAGCGTTCTGAGCTTTTCGCGACCGCCAGCCTTTCAGTGACCAGGGAAGTATAGGTATTGATCTAGCATTTCCAGGGCTTTGAGCGTCTGCGTTTCAAGCCTCCACCAGCGCTTTGAGCGTTTTGGCGACTAAGACAGTATGAGTATCAATTCCCTCTGAAAGCGCCTGCGGATGCCCAAAACGCTCAGAACGCTGCTGGACGCTCAAACTTTGCACTGATATCTGATCTTTTCTAGCCGCAAAAACGCTCGAAACGCTGCACAGACGTATGAAGCGCTGCTGCGAATACGAAAGCACTTACGTGGAAGGCAACAGGAAAATCTCGTGTAAAGCTGGAGGAACTAAGAGAGTGATTACGCCAAAACTTTCACTAATAGTTGAGGAGTGTAGCAACAGCTGCAATCAGTTCATTTTCTTTGTGCTCTTTTTGCGGATGTTAGCCCGTTTGTTACAAGCAGAAGTAGACTCCTCGTTCTGGCCAGCAACTGATAATTATCACTTAGGTGATAAGATAGTATGCAGTACGATGATGTTGAGCTGGTATGACTCCATCAGTCTGAATCTCCTTCACTAACGAGCGGTCAGCGAGCGAGATCCCAGGATTAATGCATTGCTTGAAGCCATCGGTTCTCTTCAGTCAATGAAATTTTTATTGAACTTCATCTTATCTATAGGAGCGCCCATACGGATACAAATACCACTTGCAATATAAGCTCACCGGATATATGCCAAGAATCGAAAACGTGCAGCACTTCTCAGATTCATTCGGGATCATTCAGAAATTGGGATACGGGTATTAGGAAAAAACAGCAAGCTTCATGTGAATGGAAGGGAATGCAGTCCTTCTATGCAACAGGCCTACTGTTAAATCGGCCCAACCACCTTACGAGTTGTCCACAAGGGCCATTATGAAAGCTATGGCGAGAGAGGTATAGTCAGCTGTTCGAAAATGAGAGTAGGTCAGGTGTATTGCACAACGTAATGAGGTCCTTAAAAACGAATAAGTCCTCTTATAAGGTAGAATCAGATCAGACGTACCGATTTCCTAATGTTTCCTGGATAGCTTGTCTCAAAGTGTATTTGTTCAAACGATGTCTTTCGATGAGGGTGCCTACACCATGCCTTTGTATGTTTCTCGCATTCAGCTGCTGATCGCCAAATAGAGGAATCACGATCATCGGTTTTCCGTGGAACATCTGAAATCATACTACGAAGTATAGATGTGCCTATCAAAAAATTCAGTTCAAGGCCCTCGAAGTGTTCACACTGACCGCTTCCAACATTGAGTTCATTCCACCGTGAGTTATGAATAGTGAAAGACGTTCATCGGCTGAAATTTAGAAATTGGTTTTATGCGGGGACACTAAGAACGTTCCATGGCTATTACACTGCGGTTTCTCGTATGTACTGAAAACACAAGACACCATGAATTCTACTAGAAACTGAGAGGCACATTCGGAGGGTCATCATCAGCACGATCTGTACATGTGTTTGGAGAGAATATCTTATTTTTTCCTAATG